TCAGCAAAAAAAAAAGAGCCACATCCAGCTTGCACAACACCTTGCTGATTAGGATCCATAGCCTCATTCGGTCTTCTCTACTCACGAACTCGACTGTTTGCTTTAAAAAAGCTGCTAACATGACTCATCTGACCAGGCGACATTGCACTAGTTTTCCAGGATCCGATGTTCTCGAGTCCAAATGAGACATAGTAACCAATGACGTGGTGTCAACAATAGTACCTTTGTTATTCAATGATTAAGTAACCCTATTAAATACAATGTACACTCTTCGATGCTTTGATTGATTGACTGAAGCGTTGAAATGGAACGTGATTTGATGCAATGGCCCCATTTGTTGGATAGTTAACATCTATGTCAGTCACCAGCGGCCCCGTTCTTGCATCATCGTTTGTAGGCATTCGCAGTTTCAAATATTGTTCATCACTGTCCGGAATTCGTGTATTCCTTGTCTACACTTGTTGTTCAAGAAAAACCTATGACAACTAGCATCTTTTTAATTCTAACAATTATGCTACTGTCAGACGGTGTTAAACGTTGTCAGCGTAACATGGTTATGACAACTACATTACCTACTTGCCTATTAAATTATATATATATATATATATATATATATATATATATATATATATATATATGTTAATATGTGATCTGTTTAAGTACATTACTATAAGCCATCTGATGTACTATTGTCTCTAATTTTTGGACCTTCAATTTCTCAATGCAATTAAATCTATTGTGTGTAAGAAAGAAGTTTGTTTTTTGTAGAAATATTCAAAGAAATTAAACCCGAAATAAAAAAAAGCAATAGCATCCTGGTCTTCTGTACTTATGACATACACAACTATAATATTGTTAACGAGGTACGTATATTTATTGGTGTCAAGTAATGCCTCTATAAAGACGGTTAATTTAATTATGCGTAACCGATATATATATATATATATATATATATATATATATATATATATATATATATATATATATATATATATTTAAAAGTGAACATTGAAGTCAACACTCAGTGGCGACAGGCTGTTTCATGCTAGACGCAATTCGCGGCTTGACGATTGCGTCTAGCGTGAAACAGCCTGTCGCCACTGGAGTGTTGACTTCAATGTTCACTTTTATATTTATATTTACATACGCTCTATCTCTGATATTGAGCACTTTATCACATAAATGTAGCACACCTTAAATCTATATTTCTTCATATATATATATATATATATATATATATATATATATATATATATATATATATATATACCGTAATCCACAGACAGATTGTTTCGCTGTATCCCAGCTCATTAGTGTAGCTTGACATCCGATCGCTTCAAGCCAGGACCGAAACCCGACCGATTTGGCATCAGTCGGAGATTCTAACCCCTAGACTATCGTCGCCCGGCAGAGAGAAAAATTAACCCAGAAAACTCAATCCGTTGGGAGAGTCTTTCATTATCAGCAGTAATAGTCACTGTTTACAAATTCGCGCTTTCTCCACAGTGCTCGACCGAATTAATTTTATTCTGGGAGCTAATATCGTCATCTGCAGACAGGCTGTTTCATCAGTGTGGATAGACATCCGATATATATATATATATATATATATATATATATACTTTTATATAAAAGCCCTTAGAATCTGTAGCTCCAATTGCTGCCCGAAGAAGAGAAATATATTGAAAACACTTTAAAACTTTCCCCAAAACCTGAATTATTTCCTGTACAATGCGTTGAAATGGAACGTGATTTGATGCACTGAGGAGAAATTTCATTGAGACTGTGCTAGTCACACAATTCTGGACAATAAACCTAAGACCAAGACCACACATAATATCACTGATCATCGCAAAAATAATAATAATAATGCATACTGAATTGAGAACAGATGTCATTAGGAAAGTCATTTATGAAAATTCAAAACAACGAAGATTGTCTGTAGTTCCCCCTTTAAGCTCAAATCAAATTCCCTTAAAGTAAATGTAATATCTGAGAATTTTTTTTTCTAATCTCAACTCGCTCTCAGTAAGAAAGAATTTAAAAAAAACCTTTGAAAGTTTGTCAGTGAGAGATCTAAGCCATCATTATAATTAAACTAAGACCCCAACAGTGTAATCCTTGTCTTGGTACCCTAAAGCTAACACTTGTTTTAATTAGCAGTTAATCAGGGGCGATGACATGTATACAGAGAAACATACGATAAAACAAATATGTGAATGACAAAAAACATGTTCAGATATAACCAGACACGGAAAAGAAATTGACTGATCTTAGGTGGAAGCAGTTATTGACTAAATAAATGTTCAGAAAAATGAATAGTCAAACATTTGTTGTTTTTATGATTTGAACTTATGCATAAAATTAGCCGGGCAATCTGGCAACGTCCTAGCAGTTACCCTGGGGTTGTGAGTTCCTTTCTGCCCATGTCGCAGTGGGTGTAAAACAAAAAGAGCTGTCAATTCATGTTTCGCGCCTTATATAAGTCAGTATTAGATGCTTAACAGGCTTCGATTTACTACGTACTTCATCCTCAAAGAAAGAAACATAAATTCTTGTTATTTCTAGAGTTACTTCCTTTTAACTGTAATTTTCATTTCTAGTACAAGAGGTAACGCGGTGATAACAGAAATTATTGCTCTAGCGAGACGATGACATTATATATAAGAATACATTCCTGAATTATGTTAATCCTGAAGACTCCAAGTGGAGTATAGGCCACAACTGAGTGTTGATGTTGTGATTTCCGTAGCAAGTAAGTTTTGTTACGGAGTGTAGTTGCTTATCCCACCCCAAACTTGTGGTCCTTGTCCAAGACTGTTTGCAAACTAAAACTAGCGCCCAGTCTGCCCTGCTATTATCCAATGGATACTGCACGAAACGGTAGCGGCTGAAATTTGAACTCGACCGGGCTGATAACCGCCATGCTATTCGCACATTAATGATATTTTGTATACGAGTCTATTTATAGATATATCATGAGCACGGTTCTTATGTATACGTCTTGATGAATTTAATAATGAATTTTTAATCGATCTTATGTAAATTTAATGAATAATGTGTCATAGCTCGTAAACTCTACAATACTCATATAAACACAGTGAAGCAGGGATACCTTCAGGGTAATTTCTATAAATAAACTATCATGAAAGGGTGTGCTGAAAAGTTCTGGATATAACCCTTTTCTCAAATCCTAACCTAATTATCAATTTTGTGATTTAGATGGCTTCTTGGCTGGTTTGAGAGTTTATCAACACCTCCCTATATATAAGTTTGAATTAAACCGACTGACAAGATACTGCGATTAAACTTTTGGTCAATTTTCCTTGCATTTGTACAGGTGTTTTTCAGAAGAACAAATGATCTACATATCCGATCGTTTTCGATTATTATAAAGGATGATTTTTTTATTCTTTATTCTTTATTCTATATATATATATATATATATATATATATATATATATATATATATATGTATATGTATATATATATATATACATACATATATATACATATATATACATACACACACACATATATATATACATATATATACATACACACATATATATGCACACATATATATATACATGCAAACACACACATATGTATATATATACACACACACATATATACACGAATATATATGTACACACACACGCAAACACATAAATATATATATACACATACATATACACACACATATATCTACATACACATACATATATAAATATATATACATGCATACACACATACATACATATATATACACACATATATATATACACATACATACACACACACATATGTATATATATATATATATATTAATCCGCCATTATTTCTTACTGCTATAAACGTTGTAGTGAGTCCACGTGTTTGAGTAGGTATCGCTGTTTTTTAAACAGTCGAATTAATGTCAACGGACCGACAGATGGAGAAGTCGTTATGAAAGACAAATATGTCTCCTGGCTAAAATGGAACTTGCATTCCTTTTTTTACCTTCAGGGGAAGAACTTCTTTAGTTGAAGTGTGGCTACACTACTTTGGGTCACAAGAAACCCACTGGCATTGTTAGGGAGGGTACAGTTCGGCCAAAGGAGTGCTTTCCCAAATGAAAAAAGTGAATACATGTTCGATTCCTGTCGGGAGGCACATTCATCTTTTTTTTATAAAGTCTTCTCAATCTCTAGGCCAGTTGGCATTAATTTCACTGCTTAAAATAATAGGAATGTCAACTGAAACACATGTGCCCACTAAAATAACTTTTATACTAATAAGAATATCATAAGAATATATATATATATATATATATATATATATATATATATATATATATATATATATATATATAAATTGATAATCAAACAAATCCTTTTACCTCATATGAGGTAAAAAGGATTTGTTTGGTTATTAATTATATTGCTCTGTATAAATAAAATACATTGAGCTCTTTTTTGTGAGTCATTTCTAATATTTTCATATTACCAGGATCCACTTGGATTATATACCAACGGATTTTTTACCTTATATATATATATATATATATATATACGAAAGAAATTAATGGATTTTATTTAAGCCAACATTATTTGATGAATATTATCATAAATTCATTATATTTAGCAAGTATACGTGATTGAGTAGACAGCCCAGTGAAATTAATGTCTACTCTCCTAGAGATCAAAAGTCATGATAACGAATAAGGGGCCACTGTAGCCTTAATTCCAGAGTTTATAAAAGAATATCTACTCAAACACGTGTATCCACTAAACATAACTATATTAGTACTATATAGGTTTATGTGCCTCCGCCTCGTACACATGGCCCTTGCAAAAAGCATGAATCCATTTTTCCTTGCAAGCAGTCCTATGTCGTCATTCTCGTTTTATGACGGAGAAGAGAGCCGATGTACTTAAAATTGTTGTTACTTTTCCTGCCTGGACTGTAGTAGAACGGAGCTGTTACCGCTATAGATAACCTCGACGAAGGTTCAGCGTATGGATTCATGTTTTCGTCTTTTCTCTTGTATAAGTGTGTCAAACATTTTTTTTTTCCCTTCGCTGTTTCTTCTACCTCGTTCTCTGTTTTCTCACCGTGTCTTTCTACCCACTGTCATTTTTCTCTCATTTTCTTCAACGTACACGCACAGAAATCTCTACCTGCCCGGGCAGACCAACACCAGTCTCAATCTTAAGGCTGCCATGGACACACCCCCTTGCTCGGGACCCAGCCACTTCTGTAAAACTACAATCTCTTTCTAGCCCTCCCATTTACCCACCTGCTCATTCTGAACGCTAACACACGCACACTGATAGAAGGCCTTTATATACCTACAACGCAACACACGCGAGAATAGATTCACAAACAATTTAGTGTGTGACTACGTGAAACATTAGAAAGACTTTCCCGGTGTTTGACCGGCTCTTTCCTTCTTGGAATCTACAATCAGGACAACTTGAGATACGGTACGGAGTCTTTCGATTGTCGTTGGACATTGACAAAACAAAATCAAAAATAGCAGAGTAAAATATTCGATTCCAAAACGAAAAGAAAAACAAAGAAAAAGTGAAACAAAATCGAGAAAATAGGCGACATTTTTTTTAGGATCGAATCATTTTTTTCACCCACTCTTTCCGCTCGAGTTTCTTATCGTTTGATTGACAGTTAATTTTGTTGTTGATTTTTTTGTTTGTTTATTGCCGAGAATATTTTCCTTTCAATTTTATTTTAACTTCTTTTGTAAATCGATTTTCAAGAGATTCAACGAAGAAAGAAAAAAAAAAAAGAAATTCGATTTGGATATTTTTCCAAATCAATATTTTTTGTAATCTTCAAAAAAAAATGAAGAGAAAAATGAATAAATTTTTGAGATATTTTTTAAAAATTGAAAACAAACAAATAATTATAGTATAAAATAGATAATTCGAATTTGCTGAATTTCTTTTTAATATCGATATTCTATTTTAAGAATTTTGTACAGATGTAATAATAATTTGAAAAAGAAATGCGTTAACTGATTCTAAAAATTCTGAAAATTATTGCTATTTTCACAGATTATTTTTTAAGAAAACAAGTTTTAAATTATTACAATACATTATATAACAATCAAATTTATTGTTTTTTTTTACTCATACAGTGTGTGTGTATATGTATTTGTGTGTGTACACTTTGTGTGTGTATATGCATGTGCATGTATGAATACAAATATACTTTCTTTGAAAGTATTTATTAATTACTTATCAAGAAAAACATTTTTTGCTTTTAATTACTATACGGGTACAGATAAAATTTATCTTAGCTTTTTTGTATCAAGCCGCAAGTGTTGGGTATCCAATGAGTTACGGGTAAAGAAAAATTTCCGAAAAGAAAAAGTTTCTTTTGGATTAAAAAAAAAAAAGCCTCGAATAAATAGTTATTTTTGATATTAAAGAAATTCATTAAAAAGAGTGAGAAACCTCAAAAATAATTTTTGCAATCGTTTATATTTTAATATATTGGTTCTCTCACATGACCCATGAGTTAGTTTCATCATTTTCATAAAACTAAAAAAAGTGTTTATGGCTTAAGTGTGATGATAGAATTGAACAAAATATCTCATCTCTGAAAAGAAAGTATTAGAATTATATTTCAGAAACTATATTCTTAAAAAAAAAAAATTGCCTGAAAACATCAGCTTCATTAGGTCAGGATTACCTTTTATACATTAAAGAAAATTTCAACAGTGATAACATTTTTAAAACTACCAAACAATAAATAATGATAAAAATAATAACTGAAACACTTTCTCCCAATTTTCAACTGTTTCACAAAAAATACACTGACCCGACTCTGAAATACATCTGAAAATTTAATTCGGCAGGAAAAACAGCTAAAATTCAAAATCTGTTATTACTCCTAAACTTTTACCTTACCTCAAAAATTTTTTTAAAAATTACCCTACAGTTCATAAACTGACCACTGTCCGGAGAAGTAAACCAAATTACAATGTCCAACACTTTGTATGATCGCCACCCAGTCACGGCAGCTCGGTGCACCTTTTATTTAAATGGCAACAACCATTTCGCTGGAAAAAAGGTTCTTTATAACAAAAAGAAATACCGTTCTTGGGAATCGGTGCTGGTCCATCTGACTGATGCTTTGGAACCACAATTTGGCAAAGTTCAACAAGTGTACACACCAGTCAATGGAACGAGGATTTCTTCGCCATCTGCACTGCAGACTGAAAAGTGTTATGTAGCAGCAGACACCAAGAAGTTTCGAAAGATCAAGTAAGTACCATTTAGAGAATGTTTCTGCATTAGAGCTGCATCACTTTGACCATCGACTGAGTTAGGTCAATATTTCAGGGCTATTCATAGGCATATTTATTTCAGGCTGTTCATATCTATCGATCTATCTTAGTAGTTCTGATATCTATCTCTCTGTTCACATCTATCTATCTATCTATCTATCTATCTATCTATCTATCTATCTATCTATCTATCTATCTTAGTAGTGCTCATATCTATCTATCTGTTCACATCTATCTATCTATCTATCTATCTATCTATCTATCTATCTATCTATCTTAGTAGTGCTCATATCTATCTGTTCACATCTATCTATCTATCTATCTTAGTAGTGCTCATATCTATCTGTTCACATCTATCTATCTATCTATCTTAGTAGTGCTCATATCTATCTATCTGTTCACATCTATCTATCTATCTATCTATCTTAGTAGTGCTCATATCTATCTATCTGTTCACATCTATCTATCTATCTATCTATCTTAGTAGTGCTCATATCTATCTATCTGTTCACATCTATCTATCTATCTATCTATCTTCTATCTTAGTAGTGCTATCTGTTCATTCATCTATCTATCTGTTCACATCTGTTCACATCTATCATCTATCTATCTTAGTAGTGCTTATCTATCTATCTGTTCACATCTATCTATCTATCTATCTATCTTATAGTGCTATCTATCTATCTGTTCACATCTATCTATCTATCTATCTATCTTAGTAGTGCTCATATCTATCTATCTGTTCACATCTATCTATCTATCTATCTTAGTAGTGCTCATATCTATCTATCTGTTCACATCTATCTATCTATCTATCTATCTATCTATCTATCTATCTATCTATCTATCTATCTATCTATCCCAGTCGTGCTCATATCTATTTGTCCACATCTAAGTATGTTCGTATTTATCTTTCTATCTACCTATCTATATATATTTATTTCAGCAGTGCACATATGTATATCTATCTAAATATGTTCGTATCTATCTATCTCATTACTTCTCATATCTATCTACCCATCTATATCAGTACTTCTCATCTACCTAAGTACTGCTCATATCTAACTCAGTATTGGAACGCTCATATCTATGAAAATCAGAATTACACATCTAACACAATATTGCTTATATCCATCTATTTATCAAAGTACTGCTCATATCTATCTATCTATCTATCTATCTATCTATCTATCTATCTATCTATCTCAATACGGATATCTAACTATCCATCAATACCAATGTGTATATACATCTCTCTCTCTCTCTCTCTATATATATATATATATATATATATATATATATATATATAGTCAGAGAGAGAGAGAGAGAGAGAGAGATATATAGAGAGAGAGAGACAGACAGACAGACAGACGGACGGACAGATAAAATGCCTGTATAAGCAGCAAGAATTCAAAACGTCGCAGCACCTAAAGACCTGAGAGTTATTAAATTTAAACACATTTTATAATACTCTTTGCTGAAAGATGTTTTATATAATGAAGATGTTTAATTTTTATAAGAATATTATATATATATATATATATATATATATATATATATATATATATACACACACACACAGAGGGTGCGATAGATAAATTGTCGTCTACATTACGCAAAAATGAAATAATATGACATCTCATTTTAACAAATATGTTTACCAAAATTACACAAAATTGTCTTGAAATGCTAAAGAGTAAATTTATTCAATATAATCGCCATTGACTTCAACCACGACCCCCCCCCCCAGACGACTTCGGAATCTCCGACATCTCTTCTGGATGGTCTCCTTGTCTAAGTTGGGGAATGCTGACATAATCCTCGCCTACAGTTCATTTTTGGAGTTACGAGAAGTTTTGTTGTTCTCTCGTTCCACTGCGCATCACGTATAATAATCAAGGGAGTTGCGGTTTGGGGAGTTAGGTGGACAGATGTAAGGGGGTGATGTGGCGGCATAAATTATCATACAGCCATGACTAGGTCCTCCTGTTATTGTGGCATAGTGCAAGGTCCTGTTGCCAGACATATAGACTTCCAACAGCCAGCCTCTTCACCCAGGGCAGCATTACCTCCTCAAGAAACTTGATGTTAGGCTTCTGTGTTGAATCTGAGGCCCTAATCAAAAAATTCGAAAGTTTTTTTCTTATCAAAATGATCAGAGTGAGTTTTCCTATGTACCTTCGTAATCACTATTAGACTCATACAACTCTTTCTGAATCCTCTGCACTGTCCTCAGATTGACACTAAAGACTCTGAAATGTTCGTATTGGAGCTTCCGGCTCGAATGACAAGCAGTACAGCATGCTTTTTCCAAGTTTCTTGTGATGAGAATTGTGTCGTGGTGCTCTTTTTCTTACAAACGGTGTCCAACCGACCCTACTATACGAACAAAGCGCATGCACGAAATTAAAAAAAAATATAAAATGGCGACAATTTACCCATCGCACATACCCTATGCACACATACACATATATCTATGCACATATTTTATTTTCTTTGCCTTAATTCTGCTGGAATTACTTATATTTGTAAACTATAGAGTTGATGTGATTATATGATTTAATCTCCATCAACTTGTATTTTATTTTTTCTATCTTCTCTCTCTCTCTCTCTCTCTATATATATATATATATATATAAGAACAAATAGGAAACGTATATCAATCTAACAATGTTAAATTGATATACGTTTCCTATTTGTTGTTTTATTTTATCATCCTGTCAAATTCTGATTCATATTTTATCTGCATTTGATCTTTAACTCATATATATATATATATATATATATATATATATATATATATATATATATATAATATAGTAAATGTATTTGCATTGATAAGCGAAAAACTACTTTCCCATGAACGAAATGATCATCTGTATGAGGTAAATTGTTTGGATCTGATTAACTGTAATTCACTTATATGGTCTATAATAAAATTATATTGAGCTCTCTTTTTGTGGATCAGTTTTAATATTTTATATTAATAGGATCTACTTGGATTACTTAGTCACGGATTTTTTTACCTATATATATATATATATATATATATATATATATATATATATATATATATATATGTGTGTGTGTACGCGCGCGTATGTATGTATGTATTTATATATGTATGTATGTACATCATATTTTCTTGTGAATAACAAGAAATTTTAACAAAAATTAAAGTGCGTATTATACACAAATACAGTTTTTCAGAAGTTTTTACTCAGCAGAAAAAGCTCTTATTTGAAACAGAAAGATCGCAAATCCATTGAGGTTTGTTCACAACATAAAGTTTGTTTATATTTTGATTTTCTTGTTTTTGTGTTAAAGATTTTTATCTTCATTCCGAATGAAAGACAATATTTGCTTTTTTATAATTTATAAATATATAGAAATATAATAAAGTCAAACTGTTGGATACCCCCTCTCTTCTGGGAAGGTTTTGGCCACTGCACCAAATAAGCAAAATGTTGCATATATCCCTCATTCTGGTGGTCTCTTAGCTGACGGTTTTGAGACAATCATAATAAAGTTGTCTTCCTCTCTTTCTTCTCTCGGCCGGGTGATCGCTAGTTGGTTTTTAGTTTGGAGGTAAAATGAGACCAACAAAAGGGATTTTAAATCTATCTAATTTAACACGTCGACATGTACATTGTCTAACTAACCAGTGGGTTTGCTATCCCCCCTCACTGGGAAGCAAGCCTTGAGACACGATTTTAACACGTCTACATTGTTCGACATGTAAATCTTAACTCATTGAAATCACTTTCTATCTAACATTCGCACGTTCGCCTCAGCTAATCAAAATCGACATCCCTATTTTCTCTACCATCTGACCTTAAAGATCAGCCTCAGAAGGTATGAGCCAAAATACACTGTCACTAAAAAATAATAGTCTGAAACTATTATTTAACAAAATCAAACAGAAAAGTATGAATAATTAACACCTTAAAATATATTACCGAGTATGTCTATTTTTTTTGCCTGAAAATTCAAAAATGATTGAGAATAAGAAGAAATACGTAATGGCTAAATATTTGGTGCATTTCTATTCTTTAATATTGTGAAAAATTAAATATTTTAGTGAAATATGCGACATTTAGATTTTAATAGATAATATGGCACAAATTTGCAAAAAAATTACATAGGGATGACTATACTATATACAAAAGGATGTAATTTGTTCCTATTATAGCTTCAGAAGTTGGATTACACACAAGAAATAATATATATATATATATATATATATATATATATGTGTGTGTGTGTGTGTGTGTGTGTGTGTGTGTGTGTGTGTGTGTGTGTGTGTAATGTTAGCAAGCTGGGTTGAAAATGCAGTCTAAATTGTTTCATTCCCTTTGTACCAATGCCCTTAGAGAAGGTATGAGTCCATCTTCCTCTTGGCATGAATTGAAATGTAGAACAGATTGAACTCACTTGCCTTAGGTGGCAGCTAGTCTAGGAAAAAGAAAAACCGGAATTCAAACCTGAGGAGAACTGTTTGGAGACTATGTGACAAACTGTGTACCATTGCTCCATTTCATTGAACATTCATATGTAGAAATCAACAAGAGAATTCATTATATATATATATATATATATATATATATATATATATATATATATATATACAAATGTAAAACAACAAAGAGTAAGATTTTGCATACAAATCATTAATTTAAACCAGGGCTCAATACAAAAGTTGAGCAATAAATATTTATTTATTATGCAGTGTTGTATTAGAACACATACATACCCACTACAAAATTGTACATCTTATTTCATCATTAAAAATTTTTTTAACATTTCATCAGGTGGGAAATCAGGTAAAATATTTTAGTAGCATCATGATTTCCAACCTGATGAAACGTAAAAAAAATTTTTAACATTGAAACAAGATGTACAGTTTTGTAGTGGGCATGTACATGTTCTAATGTAGCGTTGCATAATAAATATATATATATATATATATATTACCTACATATGAATGTGTGTCAAAGATTTCTTGGACTATTGTGGGATTTTGGGAAATGGGTCATGCCAAGAACTTTTCTCTCCTCCCACACACAGAGATATATATATATATATATATATATATATATATATATATATATATATATATTATATAAATATATATAATATTATTATACTATTTGTAGTGGGTATGTACATGTTCTCATGTAACAGTGCATAATAAATAATTATTATATCTATATATACAATTTGTATATTCCTTTTCATATATATATATAATTATTATTATAAGTGTGTATATACATATATAACTGATATATAACAGGCTGTTAATGCATAATTAAATAAAAAATGTTATCATTATTTATGTGCATATTTCTTAATAGTATAAATGCATTGTTGGACTTTTAGAAACTTGAAGTAAACATTTCTCTACTAAATTCTGAGATAAATGTCCCAAGAGACATGCCAGAATACAATATATCTTACATACACTGCATGAAAAGTGAATAATTATTCCTGATCTGTTATGATTAAAAATAACAAAGATTAAGATACTTGTCTGAAAAAGGTAGAAATTATTAAATTTTTATATTCTTCAGATTGTATGGTAACTGATTTAATTGTATACTTCCTATTGGTAAAAGTGCCAGGTAATAATCAGGATTTTGAATACTGATTTTCAACATAGGTTGGTAATCACTCTCTCCTAAAGAATGTATCTACATTTCAACTTGTGTAGGAGTGAGATGTATAAACATCTATATTCAACTTCAATATGCCTTTTTAGATTTTAGAATCATAAATTTATTTAATTATTTATTTTATTGATTTTATTATCATTATTTGCCTGTGGTAATATTAATAGTTTTCTGTTATGAAGTGTAATTTATCGTCATTGCAATAAATTACCAATCATTTGAAATATAATCACAGACAATTACAAATAATTCAGTAGACTCAGTGAAAATTCTTCTTCAATGTGCCATGTCCCTTCAGGATGTTGGCGACCTTGGCTCTTCACAATTATCTCTCCTTCATGGCTCTTAGTAAATTTTGTCTCTTTGTTATCTTTCTTAAACTCTGTTCTCTCAGCCACTTACACATGCTCATTAGGTAGGTTATCCACTGCTTTCATCTATCTATCTTTCCTTTAATCTATCCTGTGGGTATCAAATTTTAAAGCCCTCTTTTCTCATTATTAAATTTCAATTCTCCTTTCCTGATGTTAAGTGTAAGAATCATTTTTGT